TTCTATTAACAAAGATGATTTCTTGCCTTAATGTCACATCCATGTAAGAACATCAGATGTGGATTACAAGGTGTGAAAAAAGTATGAGCAATCATCAATTCACCATAAGATGTAACATGCTTTTCATGCCCCATGAAAACCCTCACAATTTACACCTAGTTAAGCCATTTTTCATTAGAGGGATTAATATTTTATGTAAAGTTTCTGAAGGATCTATCCAGACAGCCTCTTTGCATTTGAAACCTTCATCAGCCTGATCCTTTAAGAATCCTCTCAGGGCGGAGCCTCAGGCAAGGCACTTGTGGTTATTGAAAGAGTCAGCCTTGTGGTAAAGAGAGGAAGGCTGGACACAGTTCTAGCCAAATTGTGGCACTTGAATCTTTATTTCTTCTTATTGTCTCTTTCTTGTATGGTGTTCAACTGTCTCTAAGATGGTCTCAATATTTAACTCTGATTGGGCTTGAATACAGATCCGACTGGACTTGAATATAACTCATACAGGCACAGCTTCAATGGCAGCCCCACATAGAGTGCATTGCAATAATCTAATCTGGATGTAACCAAGGTGTGGACCACCGTGGCCACGAGGTACGGTTGCAGATGGCACACAAGCTTTAGCTGTGCAAAGACACCCCACCCCCCAGCCACCACCAACACAAGCATCAGCACTGAATCTAGGAGGACCCACAAACTGCAGACCTGTGTCCTCAGGGAGACTGTAACCCCGCTGAGCACAGTTTGCCAACCAATACCTCAATTGGCCTCATGACTGACCAAAAGGACTTCTGTCTTATCTGGATTAAGTTTCAACTTGTTAGCCCTCATCCAGTCCATCACAGCCACCAGACACTGGTTTAGAGTCTGGGAGGCTTCCTTGGAGTTTGATGAAAAGGAGTGGTAGAGTTGGGTGTCATCTGTCCGAGGGGGTCCGAGCAGGGGTCCGAGCAGGTGAATGAGAACTTTTCACATTGCTCTATCCTCAGCAGCCCTGGCTTTTTGGATTGATCCTATCCATCTGAAATGTAGTCTTTTTCTTTTTCTTTTCCAATTACCTTCCACTTTACCAAGCATTTTTCCAGTGACTCATCTCTTCTTATGATATGATAAAAGTACAACAGTCTCAGTTAAGTCATCTTGACTTCTAGGGAGAGTTAAGTGCATGCCACACACACTAATTTCACAGCATGTGTGGCTTACCTATCCAGAATTCATTGCCAACTTTGATTGTTTACTCCTAAGAATTCAGTGCCCATGGGTAAAAAACCAAAGGCAGGAATTCTGCAATTGCATAAAAAAGATGAGGCTCAATACATCACAATCATGTAAGGATGTCACTTGGGTACCAAAGTATCTACCTCCTTTGATTTGAAATGTGTTGGACTATTGAAATTCATCTTTCTAATAACCATTTGGACTTTACCTTCTTTCTCTCCATCTCCTGTTCTCCCAAGTAAAGTTAAAGCTTGAGCATCCATTGTTTGAGCTCAAATCACGAATCTTTCTGGTACAATCACATAATTCCACCTATTTCAACTACTATGATTGCTTCAAAAAGCATTCTGCTTTCCTTGGTTCAGAATGAGTTGGAGACACTAGAAGCTGCAAAGTACAATTTTACTGTGCAGTCTGTAATATAGTATGTGCTAACACAGCTCTAATTTTATTTTCCACATTTGATCCTCCAGTTATACCAAGGTCAGCAAGTATAGACACCCCCACTTCTCCCTGCCCAACCCCAAATTACTCACTCTGGCAAGGAGTGATCTCACATTAAATACAGACAAACCTGCCCCCAAAGATTCCACTCCCTGAAATGGTGAACACATTAAAGTACCTCTATAGCTTCCAAGACCATTTTAGCTGAGTTTGAAAACCTGATTTATTATCTAATTCTGTTTCATCAATGTATCTTTCCACATCCGATTGGGGTTGTTAATATTTGGAACACACTTTTGTCAAAAGTCTCACTGTCAGGCTTTGCCAGAGCTTGGGAAAGTTACTTTTGGGGGCTACAACTTACAGAATCTTTCAGCAATCATGGCTTTGGAACATATGAAAGAGATGGCAGTCATAATTACAGACCTTGATGCATCAACCACTAAGGTTGCAAAAGAAATAAAGGGAACAGTCCGTCAAGTTCGTTCAATTTATTTCTAGTAATCTCCGAGGAAGAATTTGGTAACTAATTTACTTTTTTAAAAAAAGAAATGAGTTGGAAGAAACAGATACTTTTTGCCTATGACTGTAATGCACTGCTCTTCATTGGATGAAAACATGCTGTCTCCTGGGTGTATTTCTTGACACAGGCTGCTTCCACACAGAACATTTTATATGAACTAGTATTAAATACTGCTTCATGCCACATGTTGAGGTTACACAGGGGAGTACAACCCCACCTCGTTGACAGCCTGGGGTGGCCATACATATTATGTAACATTATAGATGGGGCTTCAGCCAGAAAAATGAGAGTAGGGAGGAATAGAAGGGTCATATGAGTGACAGTCTTCTGTGACAATTGGGAGGGATTGCTTTTTAATATCTTCTACATTTTTTCTCAAAATCACCAGGGTGCAGGATCTGAATTGGGCTCCTTAGAGAACTTTCCTGTACTTTCTAGCAGTGTGAGAGCAACAGTACCTTATGACAATGATTAAGACAGCAAGTTTTCTGGACTTTTTTCATGTCAGAAGCAACTTGAGAAACTGCAAGTGGTGTCTGGTGTGAGAGATTTGGCCGGCTGCAAGGACATTGCCCAAGGGATGCCTGGATGTTTTGATGTTTTATCATCCTTGTGGGAGGCTTCTCTCATGTCCCCACAATGGGGAGCTGTAGCTGACAGAGGGAACTCATCCACACTCTCCTTGGATTTGAACCTGCGACAGAAACAGTAATAAGTAATGATCGGAATAATGAATAAAGTAACTGTTCTTTTCAAAAGCAGCTGTTCAAATTATTGAGTGAAGCAGATTGTAACCCAACTTAGGCTTAGTGATTATAAAGTTTTGTGTAGTTTGGTGGAGTTTTTGAGGCTATGACTGCAGATGGAGCTATTTGATATGTCACTGAAGAGAAAGGCTGCAAGGCAGAAAGAGGGGGGAAATCACAGAGAGCTGCTTTTTGATGATCAGTTGGTCAGTCTAGTAGCCTAAACAACTAGGAATGAGAGTCTGGGGAAGTAAGACAATTTTTAAACTTTACATTTTATATGAATAAGCTGAAGTTTACACTATGAAACCAATGGGTGAACCTAAGTTGTCTTTAGAAATATGTGCTTCCTGAAATTTGAAGAAAGGTAAAAATGAAACTGCATATAACAGCAAAAACAACAATCAAAAGGCAGTGAAATAATAACATTGATTGTAATATATTTGCTTTTTTAACAACTCGGTAAAAAAATGACATTGAGAAGTAGAAGAAAGCCACATATTTTCAGCTGAAGTTTTAAAGCAAGCATTCTCAAAATCTGGGATGGACCAAATGGAAAAGTACTCAGTTGTGGTCAAATTGAAGGGTAGAAAATGAAAAACTAAGAGAGGCAATATATTTATGGCTTTTACCACTGGCGAGTAGTTCTGGTTTCTATAGGCTAACAATACAGTCTCTGCTAGCTGTGTGTCTGTTGACAGCATTAGCAGCTTTGCAGGAGGTTGCACTTTCAATGATGATGCACCATTGTCCACTAGAACAAAGGCACTGAACAAATAAGGTTGCTGCTGGAGATCAAATGAGAGATGAAGCTTGAACAAGCCTTCCAAAATTTTGGATTGATAATGGCAATTTCAACTTCTTCCATGTCCCATATGGTCCACCAAATGGTTTGGGCTGATACTGTTCCATATGGTCTACTAATGGTCTTGACTGATATTGTAAATAATTTTAGATGAATCTAAGAATACAGCATACAAAGCAAGAACTTATAATATCACCAAGTTTTGTAAATGGCCTTCTCTTTAATTCAATTTCATTAGGATGCTTTTTGTACAACTGCAGTAAAAGCAGCCTCAGGTTTGCAAACATAGGTTCTTAAGTGCTATGTGAAAGTCATAGCATCATAGGATCATAGGATCCTAGAGTTGGAAGAGACCTCATGGGCCATCCAGTCCAACCTGCTGCTAAGAAGCAGGAAAATTGCATTCAAAGCACCTCCAACAGATGGCCATCCAGCCTCTGTTTAAAAGTCTCCAAGTCCCTGTAGAAATGTGTGAAGGGAGAGGTTTGCTATTTGTCTGTTCTATTTCACATAATTTATACTGGTTGCAAACTATGTTCCTGGCTGTCACAATTACTGACCCCCTTAAATGTGTGTGAAGGTAGGATTCCAGGATATTTGCATTATAAGTAGATATATGGCCATAGCACTTTACATTAGGGTGCTTTCTGGTCTTATGAAGAATATTGTGCATTAGGTACTTCTCTTAATCTGGATTTCTTAAAACTTATCCAATAATTGTCTGTTGTGCAAGTACCTAATCATTTGGAAAGCCCCATAAGTAGATGAGTCACTGAAGTCTCAATGCCAATGTTTCAGCAATAGTGTTCACACCATGCTAGGAGTCTGTGGGATTTATTAAGAGAGGACTTTAGTAGGTTAAATCATGTTATTTTATTACTCTAGTAAAATCCAAGCTTCCCTCATGTAAAGTTTTTTTTTTAACACAGAAAAGTTGTTTCATTAAATCTATATTACTTGACAATGACTAGAACTAGAACTCAAATGTAAACAAATGTTGTCTTTGGCACATTTAGAAACTTCCTTAGAATAGTGGGAACTGGGTCAAGTGGTCAGTGTTCAATGGGAAAGAGCAATTCTCTTAATGATATGGATTCCATGTACACTTTTTCCTTCAGTTATAGGCAGCTCACTAGAGTAGTTACACTTTACCCAAAGGAAAAAATACATGATAAAAAAGGACTAAAGGAGGTGCAGATTTTCATTGTGTTTGCATAGACTAGTTGATATGTAGGTCACATTTCTATTTATTGTGCTTTTTTCCTGACAGCAGGAGATCCTGGAGCATCAGCGTATCCAGCAGTTGGAAACATACCGGGCTCAGATGGCTGCATTTGGCATGACACAATCCAACAAACGTCAGCCTATTGCCAGGACACAGTCTTCCCCAGCTACTTCTGCACTGCCTTATCCAGCAGTGGATCAGCCCATGCCACATACCCGCATGACTGGTAGGATTCCCTACAGACTCTGCTTAATAGGCAGAGTAAATGGACAATTCATGTAGGATTAATTGATTTAAATGCCATGCATGCCTCTTGTAGCTGTAGCAATGAATTTATTTTTACTCTCAATCCTACTGGATGTTCAGTGTATTGTCAAAGGCTTTCATGGCCGGAATCACTGGGTTGTTGTAGGTTTTTCAAGCTTTACATATCTGTGGAATTTCCAGGATGGGAGAAAGAACTCTTGTCTTTTGGAACTAGGTGAGAATGTTTCAGTTTCAATGATGGCCTGATTGTTTCCTATTTGGAGTTCCCATGTTTGAGTGTTGTTTTACTATCATAATTTTAGAGTTTTCTTTAACACTGGTAGCCAGATTTTGTTCATTTTCATGGTTTCCTCCTTTCTGTTGAAATTGTCCACATGCTTATGGATTTCAATTGCTTCTCTGTGTTGTCTGACATGGCCATCAAATGCTAATCAAGGTGGCCAATTGAAACATCCACAGATATATAAACCCAATTTACCTAGATTCCAACAGACCTCACAACCTCTGAGGATGCCTGCCATAGATGCAGGTGAAACATCAGGTGGGAATTCTTCTAGAACATGGCCATATAGCCCGTAAAACCTACAACAACCTACTGAATGTTATATTAGCATAAAGTCAACTAGTGCAGCTGATAATATCCACACATAAATTCATACTGTTGTCTGGCTCCACCAGTCAATCAACAGATGTATTTGGGGAGCTCTCGAGCCTTTTACCATTTTTGCCCTGACATTATTCTTTTTTTTTGCTATATTTTTGTATTAGTTGAGACCAACCCTAAATTGAAACAAAAGCCCTACTAAATTGCATGACCAGAGTCTGTAATTCTGGGGTCTACAATAACCCTCCAATATGAATGTTAATGTATGCAAATGGTCGTATCTTTACCATGACAAATAATAAACCGATGACTGAAACTCAAATGATCTGATCCACTCCTAGGAAGTAGGGATTTCAATATTTATTCATTTCATGATTCCATGCAGGAGTGAAGCATTTGATTTTTTTAAATAGTGGATAAGATTAAAAGAGTTTTCATACATTTGTGATAAAAACATTTTGGGACTTTCTCCCCAAAAATATTCATTTATGCAAAAATCATTATTTTATATATAAAGCAGTGTGTTCACTGAAAAACATAGCTTTGGTCCAGAAAAAAAAAAACATTTTTTAAACTCATTCATTTTTTATCATAAAAATAAATTAGAGCTTTATCTTTTTTTTCAAGGCAGTGTCTCAATGTCTTGAGTCACCTTTCCTGCTTTTGGCAAGAAACGATGCAAGTATTCTTTGCATCCCTACTGGGAAGTGACATTTTCTATCAGCAAAGAGTGATTGGCGTGAACTTCTGGTTCTTGTAGATGAAAATGCACACATGGTGTTTGAATTAAAGAGCATTTTGGATGGGCTTTAGGTTTCTTTGGTTTTCTTGAAAAGCTCCTCAAAGGGGGTGTGAGCCAAAGTCCACTAAACTTCATAAACAACAGTTCCTTATACATGACTACAGTAGCTATGAAATGGATTGATGGAATGCTGACAATCATTTTGTGCAATGCTCATGATGAAGGATGACATTGACATGTATTTGGGTTGAATTGAACTGTATATAATGATATAATTCTCAGATTCCCAAGTCATCTGTGAGCTAACTGAAGTGTGTGCTTGTTTAATATTTATTTATTTACTTACTTCATTTATATCCCACTCTTCTCACCCCGCAGGGGACTCAGAGTATTTAGGCAAACATTCAATGCTTTAATTATACAACTATTGAAAACATAACATAAAATCATTAAAACAGTAGACATAAGACAATTTAAAACCAATAACATTAAACATAATCAATCTAATACACAGTTACCTTAGTCATAATTCAGCTGTTTCATTTACAACCGTATCATGAGACGATGTTAGGTTGCATTTCTGTCACTCTCCAAAAGCCTGTTTGAATATTGATATTAAGTCTTTGAAAACATAAACTTGTACTATTTGCAGCACTGTCAATATTATGAATTACTGAAATGTCAATATAATTGAATATACTGTATTTTTGTTTTTAACAAAGGAATTGATATTTTCTGTCATTGTTTAATTTTGACAGTTCTTCTGGTCACATGTGTCAAACTCAAAGCCTGTAGGCTAAATCTGTCCCTCCATATCTTGGACTACAATATGTATTCCTCAGCATTAGATATCAGGACTAGAGCTAATAGAAATTGTGATACAGTAATATCTGGAAGGCTGCTGTTTGTTCTGTTTAGTCAGGATAGTGGGGTTTCAATTTAGATAGACTTGTGGATATGATGTCTGACTTTAAAATGTCCTTTAACCTTTCCACAACCTGAGAGCTATAAGTGCTGTCGGGTGGCAATTCCCATTACCCCAGTCTGCATGGAAGATAATCAAAAGTGAATAACATCTGGGGACCCCAAAACTAAAGAGCACCTACTACTGTGTAAAAAATATATAGTATAATTGGCTTTCTCCATCCATGGATTCAACAGCCTTTGAAGGCCACCATACAGCTAATGCATCCCTCAGTGAAAATGACTTTGATATCCATGTTCTAAACTATGGAGAAATAATAATAATAATAATAACAATAACAACAACAACAACTTTATTTATACCCTGCCACCATCCCCCCAAGGAGACTTGGGGTGGCTTACATGAGGCCAAGCCCGACAATACATACATCAGTAAATCAACACAGCAATAAACAAAAGAAAATTAAAAAATACAATACAAAGCCATTATAAATAACGTATAAACAACAAAACAAGACATTTAAAAACACAAGGATCCAACACTGAGGGCAGAGACAAATCTAATAGATTAAAAATTTAAAACACTGGGTGTGAGCAGCAGTAAAATGAATCTGAACAGGGGTCTTCAGAGGGTAAGGTTGACCCAACTGGTAGAATAAAGTGCTTCAGAGGACATTTTGCACAAAATTGGTCAATCAACTATGCAAATATAATAAACTAGGAAACTGTATTAAACCTAACCTGTTGATGAGACCATCAAATCAGAACTTGGAAGTGTCATTGTATTGGGTTAAATCTTGTATATTCCACCAACCAGCATGGAGTTGTAGAGAGGAACTTTTCGAAGCTCTAGATTTAGTGGCATCATGAGTGCCAATGTAGGCATCATGAGTGCCAATGTAGGAAAAATCATTAGCCCATGTGGCTAATCTGGTTTGCTTGAACCTGCCAATTTAGACTCCAGAGTTCTTCAGCTACTGACTTCCCCAAAATTACAACCCTGCAGATGAACCTAGACCACTGGAAAATGTTAGGTAGTGTTTATTAACTGCTGCACTGTTTGGTGGGATTCTGGGAGTTGTAGTTTGAACAAAATACTTCTGTCCATGTAATCAGACCATTTTCTGAAAGCAATGGACCACATGACTTGGGGAGCGCTTTTGTGGGTGAGAGAAAAACTTGGGGTTTTTTTCTACTAGTTGCAATGAATATTCATATATGTTGTCACCCATTGTGTCCCTTAAGGATAGTACACTGATATATCAAAATAAGCATATGTTTGTCTCTGGAGGCCACTTTTCATCCTGCCATATGTGGGTGCAAGTAAATGATGAACTGAATAATTAAATGAAAATTTGTCTAACCCTTCAAAAAGTCTATAGAAAGGGAAGCAGCAAGTTAATATCTTGGCTCTTTCAGTTTCAATGGGGAATTTTGCCATTGGCTTGAATGAAGACAACATTCCAAGCAGAGTAATTATCTTCCACTAACATTCCACAGCAGCCAGCAATTGAAAACAGTTGTCTCTTCTGCCTGGAGTTTTTCAGAGGTGGGGTAGTATTGGCTGGCTTGAGTTAGGGAATCCACAGGCCTATTTTTAGTAGGCAGCTTCGTTGCTATGTTGTGGTACTGTAGCACACGTGCTGTGTGACCCACAGCTGCAGAAGTGAATTATTTGCACATCCTAAATCAATTTAGATATTTGAAGTGAGTGAAGGGGGGGGGGGATACATTCAGGTTTCATTTTAAATCAGACATTCAGAGTGAGGATATTTGATCATTTGAAAATCTGGCTTCTGATGTCAGGGCTCCAGGTCCCAGCATTTGATGTGATCCAAGCTATTTTTTAAATTAATTCCTTGGACAAAGTAACACAAAATCTGCAGTCTTGTGCACACTTATTTTGGAATGAATTCAACAGAACTTATTGAGACTTCATTTTGAGCAGAGATTGTAAACCTTCCTCTCTTTTTGAATTACATTCCTCAAAATCTCCATCCAAAATGGCCAGGAGCCATTTTATTTTTAGTATCAGGAGTGACTTGAGAAACTGCAAGTCACTTCTGGTGTGAGAGAATTGACTGTCTGCAAGGACATTGCCCAGGGGATGCCCTGATGTTTGTTTGTTTGTTGTTTTTTTTTGATGTTTTATCATCCTTGTGGGAGGCTTCTCTCATGTCCCTGCATGGGGAGCTGGAGCTGACAGAGGGAGCTTATCTACGCTCTCTCTGGATTCGAACCTCTGGCCAGTGGGTCTTCAGTTCTGCCAGCACAAGGGTATAACCCACTGCACCACTAGGGGCTCCAGAAGCCATGTTGGACTCATGGGAACTGTAAAGGATAGGTGGAGGGGGGCGGGGGGGGGACTTGACCATATTCTTATTCTGAATAGTTGTATAGTTTAGTAAATTTTACTCTTTATATAGGACAAATAGGCCATAGAAACTGTTGAACTGAATTATATTCACATATGTCAATCCATTATCAGAGGTGTGGACAATGACAATGGGTTAATGGCACATAACATATATTAATACAAGAGTCCTCGCTATTGCATGCATAAGAAAAGGAATCTTTTGAGGATCCTCAGCTTCTGAGGATGCCTGCCATAGATGCAGGCAAAACTTCAGGAGAGAATGCTTCTTGAACATGGCCTTACAGCCCAGAAAACTCACAACAACCCAGTGATTCTGGCCATGAAAGCCTTTGGCAATACACTTTTGAGAGAGAGTTTTGAATTCTGCAAATCTGACTTTTGTTAAGCAGATTGATTGCTTCCACAGATCAGCCTGACCATTGTAAAGATCTCAAAGACTCGTGTCATGTTGGTCAGCCCTTTGAAAATGTATCTTATAAATTCATTAGCTTTCTATTCAGAGATTCTGAGACTAAAGTTCAAAATTTTGGATGTGACCATGAGTCTGATGGGCAGGAAATTCTCCTTTACAACATATTCCCTTCTATGTCTGACAAAGCTATTGTTGTTCATTGTTTACATTTCATATTAGACCTTGTCTAGAAGTTTTTTCACTACTATTTTGTACTTTTGGAATAGATTTGGATTTTTAAAAATCCAAATAGGACCTGAATTGAATTAAGACAGATAATCACTAATACTTCCTGTCTATTTAAATTTCTTTTGGCCATATCCAATGGATGGGCAGTTTGAATAAGGGCTATGACATTTACCTCTCATCATATCTCTCCCCCCCCCCAACCCCAGTGGATAATCCAGTGGTTGAGTTAGATTATTTTATTCTTGAGACTTAATGCTCCCTCGTTTTAGATGGTAACATGCACTATGTTGCTTCAAAATATGGTATTAGTCATCCCACATTTGCAAGCCTCTGTCCTCTTTCTCATAAATGGTAGACTGGTCTTCTACCAAAAATGAATTGCTATATCTCCAATAACTGAAACCTAAGACTGTAAATTTAATAGTCCATAGAAAAGCTACACCTCCTATCCTCACAAGACTTCTGGTCTAGATTATATTCTGCTTGTTTTTTGAAGAAAATTTAAAGAGACTGAAAGACAATCATGTATTTTAATTGTTGCTTAAAGTTTGGCTCTCATTCAATTTGATGTACAACTGGAATAACTAAATCTGATTAGAACTGGCTGAATATACTTCTCTGTACTAGTAGCAAATGACATCCTTCCATCCATCTACATTAGTGGTTCTCAAACTTCCAAATGCCGCAATGCCTTAATACAGGTCCTCATGTTGTGGTGACCGCCAAACATAAAATTATTTTCATTGCTACTCATAACTGTAATTTTGATACTGTTTTGAATTGTAATGTAAATATCTGATTTGCAGGATGTACTTTCATTCACTGGACCGAATTTGGCACAAATACTCAATATGCCCAAATTTGAATACTGGTGGGGTTGGGAAGGGATTGATGTTGTCATTTGGGAGTTGTAATTTGCTGGGATTTATAGTTCACCTACAATCAATGAGCATTCTGAACTCCATTAACGATGGGATTGAACCAAACTTGGCACACAGAATTCCCATGACTAACAGAAAATACTGGAAGGGTCTGGTGGTCATTGACCTTGAGTTTTGGAGTTATGGTTCACCTACATGCAGAGAGGACAGTGGACTCAAACAAGGATGGATCTGGACCAAATTTGGTACAAATACTCAATATGCCCAAATGTGAACACTGGTGCATTTTTGGGGAAATAGACCTTGACATTTAGGAGTTGTAGTTGCTGGGATTTATAGTTCACCTGAAAGCAAAAAGCATTCTGAACTCCACCAATGATAGAATTGGGCCAAAATTCCCACACAGAACCCACATGACCAACAGAAAATACTGTGTATTCTGATGTTCTTTGGCGTCCCCCCTGACACCCGCTCGTGACCCCCCCCCCCCGGGGTCCCAACCCCCAGGGTGAGAAACACTGATCTACCCCAGGAAAGAGAGAGAGTCTCTCAAGCAAATTTCGTCTTTTCTAACAGTAAAAATACAGCAACAACGCAATTGTTACATCTGACATCTGCTGGCTTTCAGGGGATGTAATGGTAGGGCTGCCCCCAATTATTATTATCCTAATGTAGTTATAATTTCTTATTACGTATGTTTGTTTCTGTATTTGTATTAAAGGTATTGCGTATGACGCCCTCATGTTGAAACACCAGTGTATGTGTGGCGGTTACAGCAACCATCCAGAACATGCGGGAAGAATACAGAGCATCTGGTCAAGGCTGCAAGAAAGTGGGTTGCTAAACAAGTGTGAGGTAATCACAGTCATTGCCATAGAAATGAAACTGTGTTAAGAATCACAATATTAAGCTTGACATCCTTCTGCAAGCATCAAGCAGATAATAATGAGACTATACCTTGTATTTCCTGATAGGCATAAAATAGACTGCAAACTCTTTGTACACATAACACTCACAAGATGAAGTTACTTTTCTTATGTCGCTCTCCATGATACGCAAATCCCCTATAAAATTTTGATGTTCAAATGAAATAATTAAATCAGGGAATTTCAAGCCCCATTCAAACTATTTCAGTTGATGGGTTAGTGTGAAAGAAGTGAGGGGGTAACAAATAAAAATGAGGAACCACTAGTCCTTAAAAATTGGCAAATCATGTTTTTCTACAGTACCCCACAGTGAAATATGGGTATTATGATTTCACTGTGTTCTTAACATGGTGGTTAGAATCTAGCAAACAATTGTTGCTGACTACAGAAAGTTTCTCGTGGGACTACTCTTGTTGCTGACTGCAAAAAGAAATAAAAGCAAAATATTGAGTTGGAGCCAGCTTTAGTTGTATTCAGAGTACCGCCACTGAAAATAGAAGGTTTCTAAATTGGTCATGAAAACTTAATTCCAATTGTGAAGATGGGTCTACAGTAAACACAGTCATCTATCTACATTTGCTGGTGTTTGGGGCACAAGACCTCTGTGAAAGTGAAAAATCACAAATTTATTTTTCTTCTTTAACTGAGAGAACATCTCTCTAGGAATTTCTAGGTTTTCCATCATGTCTCTGTGGATAACTTCTGCTGGAAACTGATAATAGAATCACACTGAAGAATTTAGAGATTCTCAGTTCTTGTGGGTTTTTTCGGGCTATATGGCCATGTTCTAGAGGCATTTCTCCTGACGTTTCGCCTGCATCTATGGCAAGCATCCTCAGAGGTGAGGTCTGCCTAGAGAGGTGTTCTCTCTAGAAATCTCTAGGTCTTCCAGCATGACTAGAGGAAGTTAAGCATACAGTCATACTGGAGAGCCTAGAGATATTAAAATGAACAATTTAAATCAAATCTGTGGATAATCAATTCCACAAAAGTCTAAACCACAAATTTGGAGGGATGACTCCAAGTTGGTGTTCATTCCATTGTGTCTTAGAGCATTGGTTCTCAACCATCCTAATGCTCCGACCCCTTAACACAGTTCCTCATGTTGTGGTGACCCCCAGCCATAAAATTATTTTTGTTGCTACTTCATAACTGTAATTTTGCTACTGTTATGAATCGTAATATATCTGATATGCAGGATGTATTTTCATTCACTGGACCAGGTTTGGCACAAATACCCAATATGCCCAAATTTGAATACTGTTGGTGGTGGGTGGGGTGTGTGTGTGTGATTTTGTCATTATAATTCACCTACAATCAAAGAGCCACTATAGAATTGAACCAAACTTGGCACACAGAATTCCCAACAGAAAACACTAGAAGGGTGTGGTGAGTTTTGTAGTTGTAGTTCACCTACATCCAGAGAGCACCCCTCTGACACCCCTTTATGCCCCCCCAGGGGTCCTGACCCCCAGGTTGTAGTCTGATGGGCCAAAACTAACAAAATGAAGTTCAACAGGGACAAATGCAAGATACTCTACTTAGGAAGAAAAAAATGAAATGCAAAGATGCAGAATGGGAGATGTCTGGCTTGACAGCAGGATGTGTGAAAAAGATCTTGGTATCCTCATGGACAAGTTAAACATGAGCCAACAATGTCATGCGGTGACAAAAAAAAAGCCAATGAGATTTTGGCCTGCATAAATAGGAGTATAGTGTCTAGATCCAGTGAAGTCATGCGAGCCCTCTATTCTGCCTTTGTTAGACCACACCTGGAATACTGTGTCCAATTCTGGGCACCACAATTTAAAGGAGATGATGACAATCTGGATTGTGTCCAGAGGGGGATGACTAAAATGAACAGAGGCTGTATGGCCATCTGTAACGGGTACTTTGATTATGCTTTTCCTGCATGGCAGGGCGTTGGACTAGATAGCCCATGAGGTCTCTTCCAACTCCATGATTCTGTGATTCTATGAGTGAGGCATCGCCTTGTATTTTCTAGAATTAGATTAATTTTAACTTCTGGTTTAGATAAAATAAGCTGCTGCAATTCATTATGAGCTTCTACAGACTAAAACAGGTTAGATAGACTGCTTGCAATAGAAACTGCAAGGAGGTGTATAATCATTAGGCAGAGAAGATGGTGAAGACAGCATTGCTAGTTAGAATTCATTCAAGAATCTAATAAGAACATTACCTCATCACAGTATAAATGCCATGAATCAAATATAGCCAAAACTTGAAAAGATTAAATTTTAAACTACAACTCTAAAGGTCCCCAAGCCAATCTATAGGCATTCTTCCTTAGGGATTCTGATAGCTATAATTTAAACAAGTAACTTTTCAAAACTCACATGTTTTTATTTTCTTTTAAGCCAATCATCATACTGTCATAGTGTTCATACATATGTGTTCCCACAAGAACTGTGTGGTCTGTGAAAGAGTAAAATGATAGGTATTGGATTGGGAAGCCAGGATTTATGTTTCCACATTCCTTATGTACAATCAAAAAAGTTATTTATTATAAGTGTTAAAATTTTAATGCCTGTGTTGTTTTCCTATTCAACTTTTCCTGAGCCAAGGGAATGCTCCTGGTTCATTCAAGTATTGGAGCAACAAGCAAGATGGGCAATTTGTGGTATTCTAGATTTGTCAGGCTGCAACTCACACTGCCACAATATTGCTGGTAGGAGTTGCAATGGAACACAAATGGGGGAGAAAAATGTGTACCCTGATCCAGAAATTCACAATACTTTTATCCACGGGATGGGAATCTTTTAGGTGCTATTCTTGGAATGTCTGAGGTCTAGTACACAGAGCAAAAATACAGGCTTTAGGGAGTCCTCATGAGAATGGAACAATGATAACACACATTTAATGTATTGTTGAAGGCTTTCATGGGTGGAATCACTGGGCTGTTGCAGGCTTTTCGAGCTATATGGCCATTCATCTATGGCAGGCGTCCTCAGAGGTTCTGACCTACAACAACCCAACACACATTTAGTCTTAATGACTCCTCAGTATTACTGTTTCTTGAGACAAACCTTCATCTTTTATATCCATCATTAATTCATGCCTTCCTTTCACTCCCACCTTTATCACAAGTATGACCTGTGGGTACGAGGGAGAGAGCCTTCTCTGCTGTGGCCCCTCAGCTTTGGAATTCACTACCTAGTGAGATTAGGCAGCTTTGAAGAAAGACCTAAAAGCTTGGGTCTTTCGATATGCCTTTGGCGAGTGAACACATATTCATATTTTGTCAGTTCCAACTATAGTTCCATCCTCATGATGCACTTTGCACCTGCCTTTAATGAAGGTCTAACCCCACTGTTTGCCCCTTTTGAGCTCCTCCCTCAGAAACACGTTCTCCCACTACTATCTCATCCAGGGTTTTATCAATTTTATCCTGTGCATTTGGCCTGCCCATTGTGTCCTATTTCTCTATCATGTTGCCGGTCCAATTCTGAGCACAATTCAAAGTGCTGGTTTTGACCTACAAAGCCCTATATGGCTCCGGCCCAGCTTACCTGTCCGAACATATCTCTCTCTACGTTCCACCTCAAAATTTAAGATCTTCTGGGGAGGCCCTGCTCTTGACCCCGCTTTTGGCGCAAACATGTTTGGTGGGGACAAGGGACAGAGCCTTCTCAGTGGTGGCCCCCCACCTTTGGAACTCAATTTCCAGTGAAATCAGGTCAACAACATCCCTCCTCGCCTTCAAAAGGAAATTGAAAACGTGGTTATGGGACCAGGTCTTTGGGTAGCTGGCAGATAATTGACAATGGTAATAATGAAAATGTTATGGAAAATGGACCATGGACAAGGTTCCAATTGTGTTGTGCTCGCTAAATTTGTTTCTACATAAAACTAGACAACCAGTACTATTGCACTTTTCATTAATGCACTTTTTATTTTAAAACTAATTTTGAAATCAATTTACTGTATTTTTATATATATTACGGTATGTATTATTTATATGTAATGGCATCGAATTGTGCCGGATGTAATCCGCCCTGAGTCTCTCTCCCCCTGCCCCCCAGGGGTTGAGAAGGGCGGGGTACAAATGTTTGGAATAATAATAATAACAATAATAATAATGTTATTTAGTAACGGTTTATTTTATTTTGTTATTCCATGTATCTTATTTTGATGTTATTTTTGCTTCTTTGTATTTTATTTTGCTGTAGTGTAATTTTAGGCTTGGCCTCATGTTAGCCATCCCGAGTCCCCTTTGGGGAGATGGTGGTAGGATATAAATAAAGTTTATTATTATTATAATTCATGGAGAAAACATCAGCAAACCCCTAAGTCACTGTTATTCCCTTCTGTTGGATGACAGACCTGTTTAAGCTATACAGTTTATTCTAATCTTCTATATTGATCCCAACTTCTGACCTCTGAGGCAGTTGCTTCATATGAGTTGAGGACAGGTATGTCCCTGAGCATGTGTATTCAGAAGAAGAATCATACATGGAGCAATGCTCACATAGGCCTCTTCTATGCTATTGGCATTGCCAGCCTTCTCTAAGGGTTCTTCTATTAGGACATCATGGTTATGTTGTTATTCTTGTGGTTTATTTCTTCTGGGGCACATCATTTGTAATTAGCCTTTTTAAGCCTTCCAGTACAAGTCTCTCTTTTGAACATTAAAAAAATAATTGGAGAAAGGTTACAAGCCCTGAGCATAATCATCAGGAAGTAAGTCCCATTGAACTCAGTGGGGCTTAGTTCTGGGTAAACATATTCAGGGCTGGCCCACAAATCATTCCAAAGGTCTTTTGACAAACAGACAATCTGTTGTTTTTATCTCCTCAAGTAGAGTCAAGTTTATAGCACTTCAGAGTGTCTGGGTTAATAGACAAAAGTGCTACAATGACTAATAATTACCCCAGCCTCTTAAATATTTCAATTAGCTTTTACTCAGTGCAAATGACGGGGTCTCCTACAGTACCAACCACCTGGGGTTTCCTCATTGATTTGCTATGCGGTCATCTGAAGCACATTCCAGGAAAAACATTTATATTATACCACATCCCTTTTCCCTTCCTTCAAGAAAATACATATAACATTTAGGAGAATGAAAGAATGTTATCAATCACCTGGCCTATGAAGATCAGGATTTTGTAAAGTAGTCCCAGAAGGACCATTATGAAGTTTATTGTCTTCACTAAGTAACAGTGTGTTCTTGATTTTATGCAACTGTGTTCCAGGCATTGTTCCTCTGGTACACATTCTCTTGTGAATGAGGAAAGGTGAATAAATTAGGGATTTAAAATTCCACTTCATGGAGTTCTTTTTGTCTGTTAAGCTAAGAACAAAATTAGTTGGTCAGAGGTTCCACCAAGGTGGGAGGTGATATAACATTTTAGAACCCTTGAACAAAGCAGAGGAATGAGGAAAAACCAACAGCTTTCTTTATTCTGGAGACTATCCTGAACTTAATGCACAAGGCTGTTGCCACCAACTTTTTTCAGAAACTCTCCAAATTCTAGCTTCTCGGTTGCAAAGGATGGATATCTATATATATATAAATGCTCTGTGCATAATGAGTTCCTTAAAAACAAAAGAACCAATGAACGAAATCACACCAAATTTGACAACAAAACGTCTCACAACAGAAGGAGTGACCATCACTCAAAAAAATCATGATTTTGTCATTTGGGAGTTGTAGTTGCTGGGATTTATAGTTCACCTACAATCAAAGAGCACTCTGAACTCCATCAATGATGGAATTGAACCAAATTTGGCACACAGAACTCCCATGACCAACAGAAAATATTGGAAGGGTTTGGTGGGCATTGACCTTGAGTTTGGGAGTTGTAGTTCACCTACATTCAGAGAGCACTTTGGATTCTAACAATGATGCATCTGGACCAAACTTAGCAAAAGCACTCAATACGCCCAAATATGAACACAGATGGAGTTTGGGGGAAATAGACCTTGACATTTGGGAGTTGTAGTCACCGGGATTCACAGTTCACCTACAATCAAAGAGCATTCTGAACCCCATGAACAACAGAATCGGGGCAAACATCCCACACAGAACCCCCATGAGCAACAGAAAATATTTAAGGCCATCCAATCCAACTCCCTTCATCAGGGCAAGAAAAAGTAATCAAAGTCCTCCTGACAAAGAACCATCCATAGATAGATAGATAGATAGATAGATAGATAGATAGATAGAGATAGATATGATTCACATACACACTAGATATAGTATCACAGATTTGAAAGGGACCCCTAAAGAAGGACATTTATATGTCGCATGTTCCAGAGTAGGCAAACCAGATAATCTCCACAACACTGACATAAAAACAACAAGGAATATTGTTTACCCACAAGCATAAAGGAATTACATATATTAGAAACCATTTCTTTATTTTCCAGATCACCAGACTGGGCCACAGCAACGTGTGGCAGGGGATGGCTAGTACAGTTATAAGATCTGACATTTCGCATTGAATAGTATTTGGGTGTGAACTGGGTTTGAATTTTTTCTCAGGCAAAGTATCACAGAATATATAGTGGAAGCCTAAAGAATTTTAATAAGATTAGCAAAAATTTCTCACGGGGAAATATCACCCATCACTAAAATAAATAATTGATCTCTGCATAAAGGTGTTTCAACATAAGTTATAAGTCTTTTGGATAGTGGAAATTGTATTTTCCATTCTTGGGTACGCTCCAGTTTAAAATTGTGAAAAGAAAATAAAGGCTTCCATTACTTCCTTTAGAGACCATTTTGAGACTTAGTCCAAGTGTTAGGAAATATATTTGAATTATTTAAGTGGGGGAACACAAATTCAATTCATTAGGTCAAGCTGACAGTCTGTTGACAGTCACCGAAATGGTCTCTTTCCCCAAAGGTTTGTTTGCCTTTGAAAACAAAAAAATGTTAGCGTTGGAGTACAAGTGTGGACTATAAATCTTTGTGAAAGTTGTTTCCTTCTGGCTCACACAACATCAATTACATTACAGAACCTGTTACCAGAACTTTATATAAAACAGTCTTGATTTTTTAGTAGTGGGGGAAAAATCAAACCTTAGTGGTCAAGATGGCAGAGAGGTGATACTAGTGAAGCTGAAGCTGTATTGAGTCCAAATCTTTCCTGGCCTGGAAACTGGGCCAAAGAGTGGCTCATAGTCCACTTGTACCCTGTAAGGATTAAATATGCAGCCCCTCAAGCTCCCTTATGACTCTCAGCCTCATAGCTCTTACATGGGAGCCCCTGGTGGTGCAATGGGTTAAACTCTTGTGCTGGCAGGACCGCTGACCAACAGGTCAGCAATTTGAACTTGGGCAGAGTGGGTTGAGCTCCGTCTGTCAGCTCCAGCTCCCCATGCGGGGACATGAGAGAAGCCTCCCACAAAGATGGTACACATCAGACATCAGGACATCCTCTAGGCAACGTCCTTGCAAACAGCCAATTTTCTGATACCAGAAGCAACTTACAGTTTCTCAAGTTGTTCCTGACACACACAAAAAGCTCTTACATTGTAAACATACTGTAATGCTATTTGAAGGAAAGTTTTCACCCCAAAATAAACTAAAAAATGGTCACAAATACAACAGTTTGCTTCTGTCACCTTTATAATTTTTTCTGAGGTGGTAGTTTAGCAAACTTCTATAATAGTAATAATAATAATAATAATAATAATAATAATAATAATAATAAATCTTTATTTATACCCCACCATCATCTCCCCAAAGGGGACTCAATGTGGCTAACATGAGGCCAAGCCCAAAAATAATACAGCAAAATTAGACACAAAACAACAGAAAAAATTACATCACAACAAAATACATAAAATAACAGAATAACACAAACAGTGCGAAATAACATAATAAAAATCAAAAATCAAAATCAAGCTGTTGGTCTTGCTAATATCCTTTCCACATTTCTTTCCTTAGCACCTTAAATCCACTCCCATTGGCTTTCCTCAAGGGAACAGTGGACAATTGTTCTTCATAACACATTTTTTTCTAAACGTGGGAGGCAACATATACACTGGAACTTACTGGCCATTGCCTGCGCCTTAATGATGATGGTGGTTCTGGCCTATCACATACCTTAGAGTGGCTCTCCTCTCATACTAAATTTGAGTAGGCTATTCTAAGGAGAGCCAGCATGACTCTGAAGTTCAAGGTCTGAATCCCTGTTCAGCCATGGAAACTCACTGAGTGAGACATGGCAAGTCATGTTCTTTCAACTTTAGAGGAAAGGAAAGGCAACCCCTCCTCTGAACAAATCTTGCCAAGAACAGCCTGTGATAGCATTGCTTTTAGTTGCCATCAGATTGAAGGCCCACAAAAACAACAATTCTTATAAGCCTAGGAGAAGTTAGTAATTGAGCTGTGATGATGTAGGCATATGGAGAATGGCAGTCCTACTTATAATTCAGATAGACTCAGAAAAATTAAATACACAGTTCAGGCTGGCTACTCAAGGTCTGTAACTATCTATTGATATGTGTCAGTGTGCCTGATGATATGAATAAATGCTATTTCTGTAAAAATATTCATAAAGCATTTTGCTTCTGTTTGTATTATCTCAGACCTAAACTAAATGGGACATCGCTTATTCATTTGTTCATCATTCATTCACCCATTGTTTGGAGAGTTTCTTCTTAAGTGAAATCACAGGCATAGGGAGTCCCAGTCCAGAAAGGCAACCTTTTGTTATTTATTTACCTTGAATTGGCACACACACACACACACACACATTCCTGCTAGTTAGACTTTTTAAAAAGACCCAGTTCATCATTAATGTATGGTCTGGTCTGGTCTGGTGGCATCTGTTATATGAACAGTATCATGTTTAGGTTCAAAATAGGGAATATTTCTTTCTACAGATATTGCTCTCACATTCATAATGGCTCGCCACTGGCCATGCTGACTGGGACTGGTGGCAGTTGTAGTAAAGGTAAAGGTTTTCCCCTGACATTAAGTCCAGTCATGTCCGATTCTGGGGGTTGGTGCTCACCTCAATTTCTAAGCCGAAGAGCCATTGTTGTCCATAGATACCTCCAAGGTCATGTGGCTGACATGACTGCATGGAGTGCCGTTATCTTCCCGCCTGAGTGGTACCTATTGATCTACTCACATTTGCATGTTTTCAAACTGCTAAGTTGGCAGAAGCTGGGGCTAACAACAGGAGCTCAGTCCACTCCCCAGATTTGAACCTGTGACATTTTGGTCAACAAGTTCAGCAGCTCAGTGGTTTAACCCACTGCACCACCGGGGCTCCGCCAAGTGACAGTTGTAGTTCAGTAATATTTAGAGAATGTCATGTGTTCTAATCATGGTATGGTTCAAATAAAATATCAACTCACCAAGTTGGAGGTGGATGGGAGGAATTTATTGTTTAGTATGTAAAGTGCTGTTTTATTTTAATATGTTTGCTTTGTTGTGAGATCAATGTGTTGAATAAAATGTCCCCATGTTTTTACTCCCTTGCATAGTATTAAATAAACTTGGTGTCACATTCCTGTATGATGCAATTATTACTACCCATGATTAATCCGATTAAATGTTATTTTGGATTTGCTTTCTTCCCCCCTCCCTGTCTATTATCAGTAGAATAGTATAAACCTCTACTGCTTTCTTTCAGCGGATCCGAGGTCGAAAAGCCAGTTTGGAAGAAATACAGCTGGTCCATTCTGAACATCATTCATTGCTGTATGGCACCATTTCCCTGAACAGACAGAAGCTGGACCCCAGGAAAATCCTAGGTCTGTAAAGGGTTCTATTCTACTGAGAACAGCACATTCCAGCACTGCCATTAGTCATAGCTGGTGTCAGTTTAAAATACTTGGCAAGCAGCATAAAAAACAAAAACGAGTATCACTTTTTCCAAATGCAATGCATTGTGGAAATAAAATGTTTTAGCAGCAGCCAACATAGATTAGGAAAAGGTCCAGCAGTAAAGCTTGCTCTCTCTCTCTCTGATGATCATGTATGAATATTAATAGTTTTTTGTATTTGAATCTACATTGCAGTGAATTGTCTAGTGAAAGGATGAACAAACTCCCATAGTAAAGGTAAAGGTTTTCCCCTGACAAAGAGTCTAGTCATATCTGACTCTGTGGGTTGGTGCTCCTCTCAATTTTTAAGCCAAAGAGCCAGCATTGTCCACAGACACCTCCAAGGTCATGTGGTCAGCATGACTGCATGGAGCACCATTACTTTCCCGATGTATCTACTCAGATTTGCATGTTTTCAAGCTGCTAGGTTGACAGAAGCTGGGACTAACAGCAGAGCTCACCCTGTTCCCCGGAATCAAACCTGCGACCTTTCGGTCAGCAAGTTCAGCAGCTCAGCACTTTAACACACTGCACCACTGGGGGCTCCCATAAAGCCCCCCATAAAATGACCATAAAGGATCACATATGATCCATATCCCAAATGGAAGGTGCTAGGCCTGTTTCACCAGATCAATCCTACCATATAGCAGTGTGAAGTATGATTACAAGTTTTCAGTGCTGTGCCAACACATTTGCCATGATAGTCCTAACTTTGTGCCAGCCATCAGTTGTGTCCAGAGACAGTTCAATAAACAGATTTCCTCGTGCCTACATTATATAGCTAGCTATACACAAAGTTACGCAACGTAACAGGTTATGTAGGATTCCAGATATTAATAATAGCAAACAATATCTAAAAGCTTTTGGAAAGCAAAGATAATCCGAGAACTAGGAACAATTGCCTTTAACTAAAGAAAAGCTTATCTTTAGTTCATTGCAATGGACTATACACCACTCCAAACAATCTAAGTTTTCATAGCTTCCAAAACAGCACCATAATAATTCCTTTAATAAGGACAATTCAGGGTTTCTGTCCCCTTTTACTCCTAATAATGGCAAAGTAATAACTGCTAAAATTGTGCATCAAGCCATCTCAGTGGGTAATGCTTCATTTTAAGTATATCTGACACATAAGGAATGCACACTGTATGTGTGAATATATTACAGCTCCAGGGCATCCTTTTCATGCTCTTTACCAGAATCACTACTGGCCTGACTGTGATGATAATGGAAACCACTAAAGACCTTCAGACCTTTCCTGCTTCTGATTAACTTGTACATAATGCAATATATGTGCCTTGACAAATACTGGCACAAGAGCACCATGCTATAAACTTGGAACCGGAAACTCCAAATATTGTGCATTATAGATTCAGCCAAAGTACTAAGTAGATAATTATAGTATATTTTAAAAGATTGGGGTTTCTTAACACAAGACAGAGGGACCAAGATTGTACTAATTATTTTGCCAGTTTCGAAAGATTATTTACTCTTCCAAAAGATTGCGCAGATCTATCTCATTTGGATTGTTCCTTCACTGTACAATTTTTCCCTGACCCCTGGTGGCACAGCGGATTAAACTGCTAAGCTGCTGAATTTGCTGACTGAAAGGTTGACAGAATCCAGGGAGTGGGGTGAGTGCCCGCTCTTAGGCCTTCTTCCAACCTAGCAGTTGGAAAACATGCAAATGTGAGTAGATCAATAGGTACCACTTCTTTGGGAAGGCAATGGAGCTCCATGCAGTCATGCTGACCACATGACCTTGAAGGTGTCTACAGACAATGCTGACTCTTCAGCTTAGAAATGGCGATGAGCACCACCCCCAGAGTTGGACATGACAAGACTTATTGTCAGGGGAAACTTTTACCTTTTAGGGCAGAGTAGGGGCCGATCCTACAGGATCTGTAGTCCTTGCACCTTATCCTATCATCGCAATGAGTTGTTCGACTCATTGGCAGATAGTTATTTGTACTCAGTAAGATTTTAATTTACTCCTGGATTGTGCCACACTGTGACCTTGAATATGTAGGTTGACCTAGAACAGGATGGGCAAAATGTGGACCTCTAGATGCGATTTAACAACTCCCAACATTTCTCACTACTCCCTATATTGGCTAGCGCTATTAGGAGTTTCATCTCTATGACATTTAGAAGACTGCATTTTCTCCTATGCTGAGAAGTTAAGGAGTCTTGTTTACTTTATCTTACCTTTCTGTGAGGCAAATGAGCCCCTTTTGTTTTGCTTCCAGTCACTTTCTATCATCTGTCTTCAAATCTTCTTTTATGACCACATCACATGGAGGCCAAGAAGTGTCTTATTCCCGTTTCTCGGGGCTGCCGGCATCCTGCAGACATGGAGTCCACTGGAGACCATCAGATGATGCAGGGCTAATTCTGGTGGGGCTCCATTGGGCTCCGTGCTGGCAGTGTGCCAGCAGATCAGAGACACAAAGCCCTGAGGAATCAAGCATACACCTGACTTCTCATAAAAGAAGCTAGGGAGGATGGGGAACAACGGCAAAACGTCATGCAAAGGGATCCCATGACAAACCATGGTAAAGGGACGAAGTGGTACATTGCCCCGTGGTTTTCCCCACTGTCCCCCAGTTTCTCAGCCTCCATGTGATAAGATTCTTAGCCATTTCAGAGTCCCTGAAAGCCATTTTCCTCCTTTCTTCTGCCTTCTCATAACAAATTTATGTTAACTTCTGTATCACAGCAGTCGGCTTATTGACAGCTTTTGTTTCTGCTCAGTTATTAAATAAACCAAACATTCCCAGTCCTTACTGAGTTTCTAGACTTTGGGGATTTCAAGTTTCAAGTGCAAATCTTACTGTATTTTGAAGTATGTGTGAACCATTATATATTATCAGTGGTTGTGTTAGTGTATTTTTTTTAAAAAAAAATGAAACCTGCTAGTTGAAAAGTTAGCTTTATGGAACAATGGATATGCCAAATTAAATGCTGATGATCAAGACAGTAAGTAAATACCAAATACCATAGACTTTTGGGTTCCATTCTTGAACCCCTTGCAAAAAAAGAATGCCTATATCTACCATTTTGCTTAAATTATCCTGCCCAGTAGAGTTTAACAAGTTCAGCATTTTGAATATTTTATATTGATGGAAAATATTTAAGTGGTGAATTATATGTTGACAAATTGTTGAAAATGGTTGTAAATGAAGTACTTAAATAGACCTTTGTCTTGTGTTTACTTTTCCCCCTTCTTTTAAATGTAGGAGGTGTGCCTCAAAAACTCTTTTCATTGCTGCCCTGTGGAGGACTTGGGGTAAGTGGAATTTGTTTCAATTCAGTAGGGTGGTGTAGAGATATCCTACTATGATATGAAGTGGCATGTTCTCTTCTTATAAATGTGGGATGGAAATGTTAAATATCATTAGAAGCTGCAAGATGAAGTTGATGTTTTCACTTATCCTTCTAATTGAGATACATTTAAATATATACACCATCTATTTTAAACCTCATCAGGAATATATTGTAATTGGTGAAAAATACTATCATGATAGAGACAGTGTTGTCACACAGCCTTGGTTTTGTAAATGGAAGTGATATATTAAACCACACATGTGCTCTATGGCCTGACTGTAATCAGTACAAACTAGAATGAAGTAATTCATAGAATCATAGAGTTGGGAGAGACCTCATGGGCCATCTAGTTCAACCCCCTTCCAAGAAACAGGAAAATTGCATTCAAAGCACCCCTGACAGGTAGCCATCCAGCCTTTGTTTAAAAGTCTCCAAAGAAGGAGTCTCCACCACGCTCCGGAGCAAAGAGTTCCACTGCTGAACAGCTCCCACAGTTAGGTAGTTCTTCCTAATGTTCAGATGGAAACTCCTTTCTTATAGTTTGAAGCCATTGTTCCATGTCCTAGTCTCCAGGGTAGCAGAAAACAAGCTTCCTCCCTCCTCCCTATGACTTCCTTTCATATATTTATACATGGCTACCATGTCTCCTCTCAGTCTTCTCTTCTTCAGGCTAAACATGTCCAGATCTTTAAGTAGCTCCTCATAGGGCTTGTTCTCCAGACCCTTGATCATTTTAGTCGCCCAACTCTGGACACATTCCAGCTTCTCAACATCTCCCTTCAATTGTGGTGCCCAGAATTGGACACAGTATTCCAGGTGTGGTCTGACCAAGGCAGAATAGAGGGGTAGCATGACTTCCCTGGATCTAGACACTATACTCCTATTGATGCAGGCCAAAATAATCGAAGCAATAGGACATATACTTACAGGTATATTTTGTACACTTAAAGATTGGGTAAAATTGGAAGGTAATTAAATAAAAATTACACATGAAATGTAAACATTAAGAGGGAATTTGGAAGATAGGAGAGAAGGGGAGGGTGTTGGCTACAACAATAGTGGGCATCAAATTCATTTATTGATGGCATGTGAAAATTAACATAAGAGGGCAGTCATAACTCTAGCCGAGTATCTTTACTAGATGTCAGATAAGTCCTATCTACATCAGGAATTTATCACACTATATATCATGGGGAGGAGGTAGATAGGCAATGATGCCATGCAGTAGTGCCCGTCACCAAAAATCATGGTCCTGCTTCAATGCTGGTTTTCTTCCTTCAAGCAAACCTTTAAAGAGGTCCCTAGCTTTATTTCTCTCAGCTAGTGGGCTCATATAATTAATAAGAAAGAACGGGATTTATGATAAAAATCATCACTTTCTAGCTTCAAAACAACGGTTGTTTTTGAGTTGTCAGTTATAACTTGGAAGTGAGCCTACCCCCTATTTCTCCAATTCATTTAGATAAATTGATAACAGGCTGCATGTTTTGTGGTTCAGAGGAGGAAACACCAATCACAGCATTATTGGCAGTCAATATGATTTTTGACATGCTGTAAAAAGCATAAAAGGTCCTAAAGCATTTGTTTACATGAGGAATGGGCTCTCAAGCTGTGAAGGAGCTAAGTTTGAGTTTCCCTGCTACTCCAGGGACCTTCCTGTAGTCAAAAGAGAATTCCACATTTATCTTATCTAGTGGGGCACTCGCTCCATGCTAAGATGTTTAGAAATAGAGAAGGAAAAAAAGCAAGAAGCCAAAAAGTGAGTGTACAGTATCAGACTCTTGGAAATATTATTTTGAGGACTTAATCTTCCAAAACCCCTCGGATTCTAGGAGTTATCTTCCCAAAAAAGGGGTGTTTTCCATGCTTTTCTGAGCATTCTGAGCTTTTCTAAGCTTTTCTAGAGTCCTAAGCAATGCTAATGAAAAGGTGATAAACTTGCAGGAAATCCATGAATGTGCCACAAAAGTTAGGATCTGTGTGAAACAAACTCTGCAACCTTTTAACGGGCCTTTCCATTTTTGACAGATCAAAATGAGTTGATATTTACCATGAATTTGCCACTATGATATGGTCATTAATAGAAGCTGATTCCCAAATTCATTGAGGAAAATGCTGGGCAGTATGTTATTATTATTATTATTATTATTATTATTATTATTATTATAATATCTATTTATACCCTGTTTGTCTCTCCTGAAGGAGATGCAAATCAGCCAATGCATCAGTGCTATATTATAAACCAAAAAGCTGTGGTTACTTTGCATGGTTGAATTGTGTGTAATTACTAGGGCTGGGCGGTTTTGTTTCGTAATTTCGTAATTCGTTAAAAATTCATTTTTTTTGTTACGAAGCGATAACGAACCATTCAGGAGCATCTAAAAAATGAAACGAATTTTTCAATTCGTTTCGTAATTGCTTCGTAATTGGAAACGAATCGTTTCGAAATCGTTTCGTTATTATTTCCGCATGTCTGGGGCAAGTTTTATAGCTGTTGTTTGTTTAATCAGTGAAAAAATTATAAATATCACACCAACAGTCAACAACAGAGGGAGAGGGAAGCTTCAGAAGTTCCCCCTGTCCCATATGGAGGTTTTTTAGCGTATTGCGCGGTCGCGTCCGCCATTAACGAATCGATTCGTATTCGTTTCGTATTCGTTTTGTATTCGTTTCATAATTTTACGAAATTTCGTAAATATCGAACTTTTTTAAAGAAAAATTTCAGAATTCTTTTAAATATCAAAACGCAAAAAAACCCAAAAAACGAATCGAGTTTAGAAACAAATTTTTCCGTGGTTGCCCAGCCCTAGTAATTACCATTATCTGCTTATGATTCCCTAGACCACAAGGGGTGCCAACATTGACTAGTAAAGGCAAAGAGTTTTCAGAGATGAATATTGTTCTATAATTCTTATTCCCAGTGTTTTGAGGGGGAAACCAACACCACTGACAATTCTTCAGGGGTGAGGGGCAAATCTCTTTCAGATCTTGGAATCATCATCATTATCACCACCACCACCATCTTTTCCAAGTGGTGATTTATTTCCACCAGAGGAAAAAAAATGAGATCTGTTATGAAATCAAGGAGAGGAAGGGAAGCATCCTACACACATCCCTACACACACAGTAAGGGTGTGTGTGGGGGATGTGACTTATCTGGATCCACAATTCTCATGGTATCTGACCATGCTTTGAACTGGTATAGACTAATTCCTATCCTTTTAAAAAAAGTTGGGAGCAGTCATCTTCATTGTGGACAAATGTGTTAAGTCCATGCCTTTCAGTACTTCTGTTCTCCTAAAGCACTATCAGGTGGACCACCATTTAAATTGTGTTCTGAGCCATTTCGGCTGTAAATAACTTATGGTAAATCAGCATGGTCTCATCAAAGGAACTTTTGCTATCTCAGCAAAGAAATGATAGCATTTCTTTTGCTCTCTTAGCATTTCGTACAAACTCGAAGGTTCTTTCTGATAGAGAGATGGAAATGGTTGCCCTCACTGATTTCTTGAACTGGAGCCACTCAGCGTATTCCTCATCTTCATCTTCTGGCAAGAGCCCCCGGTGGCGCAGTGGGTTAAAGCCCTGTGCCGGCAGGACTGAAGACCAACAGGTTGCAGGTTCAAATCCGGGGAGAGGTGGATGAGCTCCCTCTATCAGCTCCAGTTCCTCATGCGGGGACATGAGAGAAGCCTCCCAAAAAAGATGATAAAACATCAAAAAATCATCCAGGCGTCCCCTGGGCAACGTCCTTGCAGACGGCCAATTCTCTCACAACAGGATGCTCCTGACACGACAAAAAAAAATCTTCTGGCAAATCTTGGCTACAGATTTCAGTCTGTCTGACATTCAGGATTAATTCCAGTTGGTTTTTCCAAAGCCCTTTTGGGAAACATGCATAGGAATGTGGGGGAAGACATCCCTCAGCTTAGCCCAGTCTCTAGTCTAGTTACTCACTGATTACTAGAAACTTGATGACACACAAAACTTGCACAGTCCAGGGATGAAACCCAACAATAGCAAAATTATACTTTTACTGATATTTTTACTATAATCAATCAAAATCAGTGGAATTTACTTCAAAGTGAAAGGGGTTCAGAAGGACATTTCAGACAGTATTTCACAATTAGAAGTATTTAGATTCTTTCATTCAAATAGGAACCATGGTTAAAGGAAAACATTTTAGCAGCATACACATGGGAGCAGTAATATTTTAACATAACCTAGAATAGCAGGGCACCAGTTCACAGACTTGCACCAACACACTCTGGCAGTACTGTCTTCTCTGAATGATAGTCTTTTTCTGGCTGTCATATTTGAATGCCACACACAATTCTTAATAGGAGGTACACTTTGGGAAGGGAATGAATTGGATTCAATTTCTAAGAGCTTGCCAGTAAAAGATGGAGAGTTGGGAACAGGGCTGGAGAGGGAAAGGATGAAAGCAAATATATTTATTCTGGAAGCTAATGTCAGAATGTAAGCTTCTAAAAGCTTTTCTACCCACCAAGATACATGGATTCAGGAAAGAGAGCATAAATCCATGTGCAACATGACAAATCACTGGTTTCCTACTAATTTTTAAATGATAGGTTAGAATCATACTATAAAGATTGACCATTTTTTAGCTGCACCCGTCCATCTCATTATATGTTAAAGTGTGTGTCTCTGTGCAAGTGTGCATATGTACCCATTAGGACTGTGTGATCGATGAAAAAAACATTCCAATACTCATTACAAAATGAGGGGTGGTGGCGAGTCATTTCTAGTGTTTCTAAAATATTGTAAGCTTCTGTTTCATTACTATAATGAGAGTAATTATTATCAATGGACACTCTCCCCCTCCAATAGGGGGGAATTAAGTTAGCCAAATGCCACAAAAAGGAGTGAATGGGGCCCCCACTCCCCCTGCTGCCAACCCTGACTCCAATGCAACCAACAAACCCCCAACAGTCCAAAGAGTCCCCAAAGTGTGCAGTTCAACAGTCCAAACAGTCCCCAAAGTGTGCAGCCCAACAGTCCAAATAAGCAAAAGGTGCTGTGGCTAGGGAGAGGCCTGGCACAGCTTTAAATAGGCTGCCGGCCGTTCACCACGATAGCCAGCCCCAGCCTATCAGGAGGCATGGTGGGGCAGGACTTGCCAGTGATTGGCTGGCCAGCCTCGCTGCAGGGCATTTCTTCATGTTTCCCAAATACAGGAACGTTGCAGAGAAATAGTACAGGACACACACAATATTGTTCTATTACTTCACTCTGTGTGTGTCTGTGTGTAATGTTTCTATGCTGTAGGTAAAAAATCCAGTAGCTTTCATATGGGATCAATGCAAATTAATTTTTATTTAATCCATCCAATCTTTTGAAGTAATCCTGCATATACTTCAGGGACAGGTAGTTTAATTTCTATCATCTGTGGCTTTACTAACATTGAGCTGTGCTATCCATGGCAGTGACTAAGCAGTGCTGGACGTATTTGGAAATGCTTGCAGCTTCTATATTCATTCAGGAAACCCGAAATGAAGTAAATCCATATGTGCCTTAAAAATCCTTAGACTTCAGAGTGGGGCTGTATATTCTGGCTTGTAACATTGTCAGGAACGATTCTGCCTGTTTGAAGTGTTGCTGAAATAAGAACAAGGTCGATGCTTCAACTTTTATTGTTGTTGTATTTCAAAATTCCTAGTTTAAAGGAGCTTGCTGGTGTTCATGTTTTCAGATGTTGTATATTGTATGTGTGTCTGTGTACTGAAAAGAATGACGTAACACATGCAATATTCATCAAACTTCAAAAGATTTCTAAGAGAGCCCAGCAAACATAATCTGCCAGTGCTTGCTACTTTCAAGGGTCCACCATTGCTGAAAATGCTGCTTTGGAAATCTCTTCCTCACTTTTCTCATGCTCCAAATATCACTGAATTGGGTTTGTTATAATTTCTGAATGGCTGAAGAACATCTTGAAGAGGAATAAGGGAAGAGGGAATTGAGGTATAGATGTACAAGACGGATACATTTGTAATTTTCTACATCATCAGATCTTAGATGGAATATTACAATCTACATTAGTTGGCTATGCATAATTAGGTAACATCTTCTGGGCTGGACCTCAAACTTACTTTACCAGGCCGCAACCCCTTGCGGTGAAGTAGGTCCATTCAACTATTGACTGTGGCACAAGAAAGAGTTTGCCTCCTTCCCTTTCCATCAACAAATGATGCTAAGACAAGTAATTCTGATTCCTTCTGATTGTCAGTGCCTTACTCGCTGGTGGGAAAGGATTGGAAACATCCTCCTCCTTGTGTTCCAATCAACTGCAACAGAGATCTAATGTGGCTTATAATAAATATAATAATAATAGTTTTGGAGCACAATACTCCTGACCTCAAGATTGTGTTAAATAACAAGGTATGGATTTTCGATGTTGTAATCCCAGGTGACAGCAGTATTGAAGAAAAACAACTGGAAAAGCTGACACAATAAGAGGATTTAAAGATCGAACTACAAAGACTCTAACACAAGCCAGTCAAGGTGGTCCCAGTGGTAATCGGCACACTGGGTGCAGTGCATGAAGACCTTGACATGCACTTAAACACAATCGGCGCTGACAAAATTACCATCTCCCAACTACAAAAGGCCACCTTACTGGGATCTGCACACATTATTCACCAATACATCACACAATACATCACAATACATGCATCTAACCACAATCACACACAATTAAAAGCTTCATCAAATCAATCCTAGCCTTTAAAAAATTAAAAATGGACACTTGCTGTCTAATGGGGAGGTCTTGCTTCAGCGGGTATATCAAAGCCCCATGGATCTTTGGCTATATGTTTATATTGTGTCCGATGTGTGATCTAATACAACAGCCAGCAGAGTGTCTGGTGTGAACTCATCTTGTGTTTCAAATAATAATAATAATAATAATAATAATAATAATAATAATAATAAACTTTATTTATATACCACTCTATCTCCCCGGGGGGAACTCATGGCGGTTTCCAAGTCATAACATCAGAACATACAGAGTCGCAACAAAAACAATAATAACAATAAGAACAACATAAGTATAGAATTACCCAATAACACATATATATTAAAAGAAATCCTGCCTGTTCTTCATGTTCATTTGTTAGGGCATGGGAAGGAATGGGTCAGGACAATTGAAAAGGCTGGGCAAAGACTGGTACAAATTTAAGATGGATCCAGCATTTGGGTACAGTACTGGAATAGGTTAGCAACAGTAACAGGCACGGGCCTGTGGCTGCTCATTTCCAGGTGCCTATTATGAGAATGCCCAGGGTAATATATAGGGGGTGTGAGGTCGTATCTAGACAGTGCCTGGGCTGAGCTAGCACTGGTCGCTCTCGAAGATTTATTGAAACCACCACGTCTTCAAACTCTTACGTAGAAAGGGGAGGGATGAGCCCTGTCTTATTTCCCTTGGAAGGGCATTCCAGAAGTGGGAGGCCACCACCAAGAAGGCCCTCTCTCTTGTCCCCACCAACTGTGCTTGTGATGGTGGTGGGATCAAGAGGGGGCCTCCCCAGAGGATCTTAGGCTTCTCTTGGGTACAGCAGTTTAGCAAGACAACTATTTAATGTTGAATAAGGAGCAGTTATATATGTGTAACACTAGGTTATGAATCCCTAACTGCAACACAGAAGGCCAGCCAATGACATTACTTGTAACACACCATCCTAAGTCCTGTTATTAGTTTGAACTAGAATAGATCCATTGCATCTGTGGAATTTACTTATGTGTTTATTCTCTATTCATCAGTTGAGTCAATCAGCCTACTTTAGTTGGCACTAACCAATTGGATGTAAGTAAGAATGAAACTGCAATAATTTACTATCTGAGCTTTGGACCAGCACTGATCCAAGCAGAGGCTACCACTTTGAACAGCACTGTTCTAGTGTTGTTCAAAGTGATAGCCCCCGAGGAGGGCTTCTCAGGCAATTAAGTCTCTCAAATGCCCCATACTTTGCTTTCTGTGCCTGCACTCAAGTGCTAAGTACTTAGACGTTTTCTGATCTGTACTGCACATGGCTATAAAGGGATACTTCACATCTTAGGACTGAGACCCAGAGTTTTTATTTTATAATATCTGAAAGGTATAAAAATATTTTCCACCAATTACATATTTTAAAAAATAAACAAATAAAACGTTTCCCACAACTGCGTTCCTTTTAGTATAGCATTTGTGTAAGCTTACAAATTTTACAGAGGTTTTTGTTCTGGCCTTTGCAAAACCAAGAAGCAAGACTATGGTGAATGAAATACACACATACACACACAAAGCGAGCGCAGCACCTCTTACTATAGCCGGGCGTCTAAGGGGCATGTAACTAGGCCAGCTCTGGCCTATGTAATACTGTTTGTAATGGGAAATCTAAACAGGGAATGGCAGTGAGGCATGACAGGAATGTGTTTCCATTGGAGAAGTCGGTGCAAAGAAAAAAAGTATAAGCAAAGCCATGTCCAGAAGGCCTGTTCAGCTGGCCAAGACGGAAGACTAATGTTATTGTACATTACCTGTCACCGTGCCAGCCCTCCCTCACTGATTTGTTTTCTCTTATATGCTCTCTCTCTCTCTTTCTTTTTCTCTTTCATTCTTTCTTTCTCTGCTCCCCCACCCCCCTGCCCCTCTGCTAACTGTTTTCTCAGGTGGACAGTGACACCATTTGGAATGAGCTGCATTCGTCCGGTGCTGCACGCATGGCTGTTGGCTGTGTCATCGAACTGGCTTCCAAAGTGGCCTCAGGAGAGCTGAAGGTGAGGTCTGGGTTGCATTGTGTGTGGGAAAACCAGGGGAAAGGCCGAAAGTAATGTTGTCGTTCTGAAGCTGAAGAAAGAGGGGAGCGGAGGAAAGGGAACAAGGAAGATGGTAGGTCACGAAGGTGTGGTAGTCTAAATAGCTTTGCTTGGTCAGTCAGGAGATTGTTTTATTACTCCGGAGCCTTCCAATTCACCAGAGACAGTTTGGCTGCCAGGATCCTACAGTATTATTACAATTGTACCACAAGAATGGATTGCACAACCATTGTCCAAGCTGAAATGACTCAGAAGATGTATAGAAATGCAACTCTAAAATTCCATATTGGAACAAGTGTGTGTCTTATTGAGTTGTGAGCAAAGGGTCAAAAATGCCACCCAAAGTGAAGAAAAGTAAATAACAGACTTGTGGGCTTTGAAGAAAAATAATAACCGTGTTGATTTGAAGGGTAACGGTGCAGAGTATGCCTTTCCATCAAACAGCCTCAAACTTTAAGCAATTCCTCCCCTGCTCCAGTTTTGAGCTTTCTCTCTATACAATCCAAAAAAGTACAAAATCCAAATCATCCCCATCCCAAACAATTTTTAAACAATTTGTTGACGTTTTACTTGATACTTTGACAAGCTTATTTTAAACGTGCACCATGTACTCTGCTCGAATGCTCTGATGCTCTAATTATCATCCTTAAAAAGAACCCATCATTCTAGAACATGGCCATACAGACCGAAATACTTACAACAACCCAGTGATTCTGGCCATGGAAGCCTTCGACAATACAAACCCATCATTAGTAAAAGTGTTTGTAAACATTTTGGTCAAATAAGTGATAGCTTGTATATAGTGATCCACAGCTGAGTACACAGTCTGGATTTGATATATGTTATACTGTCGTAATCCAAACTGGAACAAAGTCCCATCTTTACCATTCATTTTTTAATTATGATTTTTATCAATCACATACATTTATGGGTAAATCAATCATGTTTACCTGGTATCCCAAACTCACTAAGGATAATTTACAAAGAGAAAATCCCTAGATATTTCCTTAATTACAATGCTATTGCATAATGGCTTGTAGTCAACCATTTAACCTTTGAAGGAAAAAGATCTAATTAGAAGTCAAATTGATAGTGATGAGATAGCATCAGAAACTCAATGCTGGAAAGTTCTCCCTATATATGCTTTCCTGAGAACTGAGGTCTACGGATGTAGGTTTTCCTCGGTCTGTCATCTGTGATAGCAATGCACTATCATAGAATATAATAATCATCATCATCTTTATTTATACCCCACCACCATCTCCCCAATGGGGACTCCGAGCAGCTTACATGGGACCAAGCCATATTACAGCAAAATAAGACCAAAATATAAACAACAAGCAACATCATCAAAATTACATTAAAAAGCACATGAATACAGTAACAAAATAACATTACAATAAACACAATTACAGTAACAGTGGGCGGGCCACATGTACAGGATAAAATGTTAAAAAACTCTAATGAGATAAAAATAGGAGCAAGTTATTTGCCGGGAGCTCATAAAAACACACAGGGTTGTAAAACTAAACTTCCCATTTGGGGGCATGTACTCCAGTGACAGAAGCGTTGAGGGGAACAATAGTGTCATATTGTGCACCTACTCACCAAAGGCGCAACAGAAGAGCCAGGTTTTAAGGTTCTTTTTAAACGTTTCTAGTGTAGGGGCTTTCCTGATCTCTCCAGGTAATGAATTCCAGAGTTGGGGAATATGGGAGAGAGCATTCTCTTACAGGGCTCCGTGTTTGTGGAATATCCTTCCTTGGAGGCCAAGTTAGCGAAGACGTTCCACCAGCAAGCTAAAATACAGTCGGCCTTTAATGAGGTTTGATTTCATGAACCTCCATGAATACCAAAATCTGTGGATGCTCAAGTCCCATAATTTACAATGATGTAGTAAAACGGTGTCCCTTATATAAAATGTCAAAATCAAGGTTTGCTTTCCAGAATTTTGTGGGAAATATTTTCAAACTGTAGATGGTTGAATCCATGGATGTAGAACCTGGATGTGAAGACTCAACTGCACCTTCGTGACCCACCATCTTCCTTTTCAATAAAGCATTTGGGGCCCAGTTCATTTTCCCCTCTCCAAAGTAGATGTGTTTGAGTTCTTTTAACCTGTTTTAACTGTGGAATTCACACACACTGTACCCATGCCAGGGAAAAAATGCTCTCTCTATGTTCTCTGGGTGATTCTATGATATCCTTACTTTAGAAGTTACCAAAGAGATCTGTTGGAGGATCTAGAAATTCCTAGAGAGGATATATCTCCAGGAATCTCTACATCCTCCTACTCAACTCTATTTTATACTCAAACTGGAACTAAACTAATTTAATGCCATTATATTGTATTTGTGATTTAAGGAAATTGCAGTCCAGATTGGGGGGGGGGTGTCTCGCTGTATCATTTTAAGCATGTTATCTGAAAATCAGATGTTGTTATAAAAGTCAAGACATAAATATTCTAAATAAAATAGTGATAATAATAATATGTGGGTTCACAGCATTGCAGATTATTCTTGATATTTATATCGCATACCATATGAAAAGGTAACAGTCAAATAGTCACTTTAATTTTTGCTTGGCAGCATACTCTGTTTTAAATTAGTTAAGATGTACTCAAAATGGCCAGTTTCGATAAATAATATGACTGCTGATTTTTGTACTAATTCTTAGGAAACCCTTCTGTATGAATCAATGAGCACACTCATAATGAAGGAATTGTAATTTTTGGCATTTTCAGTGTTTTCTGTTTTAAAAAATACTGGAATTAGGAAGCTGAACTTATTACATGTTCTTATCTTTAATCAGTATATACTTTCCTGATAAAACAAAATTTAAAAGCCAGACTAGATAAGAATAATCGTACATGCTTTATGTGCAGTTGACACAACCAGGATTTGATGAAAGACCCGTATTGCTTATCTCTCTGGATTTATGGCATCTTTTGCATTGTGGCTTTACTCTCTACTGTTTATCTCTGTGTAATGAAGTACTTTAAAAACAAAGTTGTCAATCAGTCTGTTTTTCCAAGAGCCACTGAAGTAGCTGGAATAAAGAAACAAATGCAACATGAATAGAACCCCTGATGATACATTTTTATTTACAATTTATTTTTAAAAGATGATACAGAACAGTGCTATTCAAAGGGATGATCTTTGGACTGATGCTGGTCCCTGAGCCGTAGGCCACTGGACCATACTGCAATTCCAGGAAAGAAAGAAAGAAAGAAAGAAAGAAAGAAAGAAAGAAAGAAAGAAAGAAAGAAAGGCAAGCAATTGACTTCCTGATACACTGGGGAAAAATTCCAAGCCCACAATAGCAATCTGAGAAGCACTGATATAGAAGCTTGTAAAGGGAACGACTCTAGGTCAAACCCACAAGTTTACAATGCAAATTGAAATATGGGATAGTTTGAGCACACAGTGAAGTTAACATATGAGATTTCAAAACTATCAATCACTATTTCTCTTCAGAGCAAGAAAATATGGTTGACAAATGGTATCCACAGAATGACACATTTTTATCCTACATTAATGTCTACTTTTGGCATGTCAAAATGTTAAGTTTTGCAACCCAAAAAAGAAGAAACTTGTGAATTTGGCAAAGTCTTAAAAAAAGATAACCAAAATGAAAATTTTGCATGATCCTACATCTGAGTAAATATGCATTGTTGAATCACAACATCATAAATAGACTTGTCATCCCTGAACTCCCTGAATAAAGAATTCTATATTAGCGATTGCTAATGATGGAGAAATACTTCCATTTCAGCCTCCAAATGCCCAAAGATGAAATTTCCGTGATCTTTTATGTTGGCAAACTACAGAGTGTGAATTGCTAAAAGTCTCCAAACCAGCATTTCAGCATTTCATTTCATAACTTTTTAGGAATTTCTTTCCATTCTGTTGCAACTTCGGCCAGTTGAGTGTCAGTCAATGAGTGGCACAGGCCTTTTATGAAAGGAAGTGAACATTTCCTTATGACTGTGGATGTTTCCTGCATAGGCCGTCTGTTTGGAGGGCTGTGGTCGAAATTAGCATCTAGTAGGAATTGAAAATAATTTTGCTGGATTTGACTAAGCTATCCATTTTGCACAATCCAGGATTCACTGCTAGGCAAAGCACAGCTTGCATGAGAAATATGCATTTTTACAATACGTGTGGTATATTTCTGAGAAATGTAATCCATATACAACTATACCAGTATGCATTAATTGCAAAAGATTACAATGTGCATAGATGACAAATACATGCAATATCCTTTACTCACTGGGAAAGGAGTACACAAATTTTGTATTTTGGGGAAAAATAGAGGCTATTCTGGGCTATTTCTACCATTGTACTCCAAAATCTTAATATGCCAGATTCAACTTAACAACTTAGAACTGTACTGAATTCAAACACACACAGTGTGTCTCATGAGTCTATTCCTCCTATCTTATGTAAATCTCAGAAGACTGAAACTCTGAACAGAACTGACCTAAAATAACTACCCCAAAAGCAGACAAAATGGATTGAAACACTGAACCTGTAGCTATAATAAACATCTCTTCATTCCATTTGGAATCCCTCATGAACCATTTGCTCCTTTTATTGTTCCTGGCCCTGAGACAAAGTACCAGCTGCGAAACTGTAAAACAATACAGCCTACTTGAATCTCATTTTTAAAAACAGATACTAAATTATACTTTTTTTGGTTAAAAAAGTCACCCCTATCTGTGAAACCTAAATATATTATCACTAAATATGAAAGAATGAGAAATTATCCTTGAAGACTGATTTCCCCTTACTATTATTAGGTAGGTGGAATGAGCAGATCCTTTTGGTTTTAAACAAGTTACGCACATGATGCAAGTTTAGCACATGATGAGGGATAAGATGTGTAATTGCCACTACTTACTTTCCATACTGTTTTCACCTGATTGAAAATGATACGGCATCTATTCATTTTCCTTGACA